AACAACAATTGATAAAATTATAATAATCAAAGAAAAACATACAAGTAACATAAAACTGACATAAAAAAATCCACCTTTAAAGGAGTTCATTTCCTGTTTATTCATCGCATCGTGTATTTAATATCTTTATTTTTGACCGAAGTTTAATATTTTTCTGCATTTTAACAAGATTCAATTTATCACTTTAACCGCTGTTATATGGCCATGATTATAAAGTTTTAATATATATAATTTACTAACGAGACTTTCTTATTGAAAATTTATTATTGTTTAATTAATTTTGTTTTTGAAAATTTATTATTGTTTAATTAATTTTATTATTGAAAATTTATTATTGTTTAATTAATTTTATTGTTGAAAATTTATTCATATTATTTTATTATTATACACATTATTTATGTAAATATACATCTATAAAGTACTATTTACATAAAATTTCAAAAAAATATATTTCTGAAAATACTGTGCTCTGACGAATATATGCCCTTAATAATTTTCATTTTATTCATCTTAAAGCTTGATACTTCAAATTTGCAAACGTTAACTATTCGCGTTAACAGTTAAAGTTTCAATTTTTCTCACAACTTTTCACTATGGCAGTCAATGTATTATGTAACACAACCTGTTATTATTTTTGACTATTTCACTTAATAAAAATTGTAGCTTTCGTAATTTTATTCCAATTAAATTTTTTGGCTTCACTAAGCGTGAAATCTCTATTCACATGTAATAATGTACTTCCACAAATGCTCTTGCACGAGTCAATTTGTGCGAATTATACGGGGGTGTAAATTTAGCTTAATGGTGATTCGGTGACAGCGTGCGGTTATTTTAGGGTTAATCACCGCTATAATATCGGGAAAACAACCAACTAGAAATAATCGTGTTTTGATGCAATGACCTAAACATCGTGTGAAGTTATGCAACTATCGTTTGAAACAATTACGAAGTACGAAATATGACAATAACAAGGTGAAGAACACGATCTTTACAATTGCCTAATCAGCAATGAAATTCCATCGCCAAATATATTATATAGAAATGTTAGAATTAGGTATGAAACATTGAAAGAACTATCAGCACATTCAAAAGGGAGTTATTTAAAATTCTGAGAAAATTAAATTACGTAGAATTGAAACATAATTTCAATACTTTATGTTAACGTTTAGAATTGTTAGAGAATTTTGCAGAAATTTCCCTTTTTTATTTTTAGAAAACTTTAACTGTGATTCGAAATTTTTTTCATGAAATTTCTTCTGCAGAAAATAATGAAAATATTAATTTTATGATTCTGTGATTTTGTAGTTCTATAACTTCATAAGTTTATGATCTCATAATTTCATTGCTTCATAATTTCATAATTTCATAAGTTCTGAATTTCACAGTTTCATAATTTTACAATTTTGCAATTTTATAATTTTACAATTTTGCAATTTTATAATTTTACAATTTTACAAATTTTACAAATTTTATAATTGTACAATTTTACAATTTTACAATTTTACAATCTCACAATTTCACAATTTCATAATTTATTGTTTTAATAATGTACTGTAAGTAATTTTACAATTCTACAGTTCCATAATTTTACAATTTCACAATTTTATAACTTTAGAAATTTTTAATTCTATAATTCTACTATTTCTAAAGACTCATATACTTCAACTAAAAGTAACAAATGACATAAATAATAAATTTGTATTTGTTTCCTATATTATACACTGCTGACATTCTATCACAAAACGTCATCTTTGTTCTCCACGTCTTTAACTTGCAACCGTACATCAAAAACCAGTAAATGAAGCTAACATCCATATTTTAATAAATTACATGCCTTTCTCTTCATATAATAATATAAATAAGTAAAAATTCAAATGTACATATGTGGATACACATATTCACATGTACAAAACGTTCCTGCCATTTTATTCTGACAAGTATTTTAAAAACCTAATGTGCTTCTCTATCGAAAAGTTGCATCGACAAGAAAACATTTATGCGTCTAACATATAATACATTTAATACATTTTTAATATAATTTACAATACATTTAAACGTTCGTACGTATAGTATTAAACGTATTATATTTTAACACGCTTGTAAGATTTTATGTTCAATTAAATCATCAGACGTTTTAGGATTAACATGACTGATTTTTCATACAGAGAGTAGTATATTATTACCATTGTATTTCTGATAATTTACTTTAAGAGAACAGTGAAGTTTCACATCACAGCGTTTAATAATATTTATATTTACAGTAACATGTACCATTTATAAAAGTAATCCTCCATTAAAAAATTCCTTAATTAACTCAAGATAATGCATCTTATTTTCTAACATCAAAATTAAAATAATATAATTTGCATCTTTTAGTTAAACGAATTAAATTTCGCGATTTACGTTTTACGGAAAAATGGCGGCGTCATTCCGTGACTTTGACTAGGGGTCTCTAATTTTATTTATGTAATCGAGATCATTCGAAAAGAAAGGATTTTAGTGTTTGAAATTAAATACACGTTAGATGTATCAGGAAGTCTGTGTATGAAACATACAACTGGTACCCATTGTAAACACTTCTACACAAAACTCTAACGAGTGTGATCAGATATTGTTTGTTGAGCAACATTCAATTGTTCACCTATCGCCTTTCGTGTTAAAACCGAGTTTTCGTTCAAAAAAATATTCGAGACAATAGTACCATCAATTTGTAATTATCTTCTCGAATCAAGGTTTATTTTCCTTCCCAAAATTTTCGGATGCAACAAAATTGCGTGCAATGGAGACGGAAATGTGAAATCAGAATCTGAATAAAATTATTTCACATCTCCGTCACCATCGGATGCAATTTTGTTGCACCTCCGAAAATTTTGGGAAGGAAAATAATCCTTGATTTATGTATCAATTCATCATTTATGTATTAAGTTTACTGTCGATCATTTAATTGATACAAAAGGAGATACTAGATTTTTTTATTTGTTTAAAATACAATGTCTGTTACTTGCTATTACTTCACAATTTAAGTAGTAGACGCAATTGACGTTTCACCGAAATATTTTTTAAATTATTAGATGTACAAAAGTGTCTAATAGCTTATGACCATTTTACTATTTTGACAATAAACTATTTTTTCAAAACGAATTTTGTGAAAACAGTAAATTAATTTTTTAAGGCTAAACAATGGATAATCTGTTATTTACTGCATTAATTTTATCTTGAACTAATTTTCTTATAATTTTAATACTGTGTTGCTAAAATTAGGCATCTAAATTTTACTGCATCTAAGAGGTAAATACATGTTAGAGAAGTGTTAGATTAATATTTACATTTAAACATAATAAAATTATTTTGTAAATAATATTTTAAATATGAATGTTCTACTGAATATGCTAGGTAACCACATATTTCTTTCTTTAAATTATGCACCATTTTATTCTTTTCGTATCACGAGTCATTTACGATTAAATTAATTTTGTTCAACATACGTCTGTTTCTACTCAGAAATAGAATATTTGCATTATAAAATATAACAGTACACTGAGAAAGAAAAACACTGCAACACTGCTATCAAATGACTTTAATTAATAAAATAACATTTTATACAAACATGATTTCAATTTTCCTATATTTACTATTAACATCAAAACTAAAATTGTGAAATAATAAACTTGAGCTTTTCAACACATTACATAAATTCATGTGTTCACTATTAAAGAATAAAATGATAAATTGTTTATTCTATTTAACCACAAGATTGTATAAATTTTGTAACTCATTCTTCGTTCAAATATGTAATACCCTTTCACAACAGTACGGAGCTCTCACAATTTAATGAGACTTAGTTTTACAAGTAGTAGAATATTTAAGTGATAAGATATGCAGGTAATGTACCTTCAAATTATTTCACTGTTCGAAAGATTAGTAACGTTTATTATAACTGACTCATTTAATTCTTAATGAATACTATTAAAACTGATACATTAACTTTTCGCATGTTAAATACTAACGAAAGTGGCAGTTTAGCAAACTTTGTCTACGAAAACACGTTTCAAAGATAGTACAGTTTACTAGTACATGTAACTGCAATTTTCACGTTGATAAATACAAAAACAAAAATACAAATTCACCGAAATGACGTACTCTATGAAAGTATTCATAATTTACAAGTTTCATTTAAATATTTCAGATTGATCTTGATAATTTCCGTGCAGAAAACACAGACCGTTCCAACAGATGACCGAAGCCAATTAGCAAAGATTTGAACAAAAAACAGTAATAAAATTTCTGAACTCATGACATAACATCGCATTCGATTACATAAAGACTTTACCTTGATATTATTTATAATCGTTATCGAGGATCACTCGCAACAAGCAATTCCGAATAACCCAATGTACTTCCTGCGCGTGAAAAATCGTTGTAAATAAAAGCGAAATAAAGGCAATAGGAGAAATATCGTAATATATCGTTGACAGTAAAACAAAAGCGAAGGAGCGTTTCGATTTTCGACACACGAAGGTCCGATCGAAATCGAGCGGTATCTCGCGAGCGATCGATCGGCGCACGAACTCGGTTATCGACTCTCTGATCGCCGTTAACGAAGGTTTCACGGTGTATTTTCGAAAAATCGGCTCGTAGCGCGCGCTGCCTCGTTCCCTCTCTCTCCTTCTCTCATATTCCCTAGCTGGTCTCCTCTTTCTCACTATGGTACACCCACGCGCGCAGCGCAACAACGAAACCGGCCGGCGGCTAAGAGAGAGTGTATTTCTCGCTTATTATCCTTTCCTTCGATTTCCTACCGTAAGGAAAAAGAATACGGCTCGTACGTATCGACGGTATCGTCTGTGCCCTCGGTCTGTGACTCACGTGTAGGCACTCGCCGCAAAAGATTTACAGCTCATTACCGATTTCATAGCCCACAGTCACGATCGATCCTGTCACGGACCTAACATTCAAACACGACTGTCCATCCGTTGCGTTTCGCGCCAAAACTCCCTTACCTTTTCAAACATCCATCCGTACCACGGGAGTCCTCGGGAGGTCCCATTCCTTGTGGGGATGAAAAGCGGATGATCAACGAGTTCGTAATCGGTAACGGATCGAACACGGTTACACTAGGTGTCACCTCGGGTCACCAGTTAAGTCACTAGACCGGACGGAGCCGCGGACACACGCTATTACCGAGACCCCCGGCCACGGCTCGTTACCGGCTCGGAGGATCGCGACGGAGCATAACACTGGGTGGTCGATGCGTGCACGACAACCACCGGGTTTCGCGTTAACCGCTCCACGCCAATGCAAATGTCAAACGACGACGACGTCGGCTGGGTTCACGCCGGCCGTCGTTCGCGTGGGAGTGTGACATAATACAACAGCGCCGAGAGATGTTGACCGATTGTCACACAGGATTCACGCCACTGTCGTTCGACGACACGACACCTAACCGGTGCACCTAGGTCCCTGCGGACGTTAGCGGGACGGGATTTATCGAGAATAAGCGAATCCACAGGTGGAAAACGTGCTGTTCGTGGTCTGGTCGGGCGCGTGTGTCCAACTCGTTCCCGGCAGCCGGCTTGGCTGTCCCTCGCGTGTTCCGTGGTGCACGACTCGAGCGCGGACTGAAGTCGAGCGCGCCGTGAGGTGAGCGGAG